TCTGTGTCCTAAAGATTTTATGTCTGTTTTTTTTAAATGTCTACTCATTTAATCCTCACAACAAACTTATGTTGCAATTACTCTCATCATCTGCATTTCACCGATGATACAATGAAGGACAAAAAATAATAATTTGCTCAAGATCACACTGCAAGTAAATGGTGGAGCTGGGTTGCCTATTGGATAAACTTCTAAACCAGCATAACCAGTCCTGCCCTAAGAGTTGCATTGGAAATGCTCTCAAAACTATCCAAAGCATTTTGCATGCAATGCCAATCAGGGACGAATTTTGAATCTTCACACAACATAACTAAGAAGAAATAAGACAACTGACATGTGGAATCAAAGAGAATGGTCAGTGGGGTTCTCCTAAAGAGAACAGTAAGATTTGGGGGGTTATTCAGATTCTAACAGTAAGATTTGGGGGTTATTCAGATTCTTCCCTCCAGATAACAATCTGGAGGGGAGCAATCTTCCTCTCCATAAGGCTCATCAACAGTGTGAACAAAGATGAGAGAGATGAAATACAGAGCTAACTTGACAACAGCTCTGCTTAAGAGATTTGCTTGGAGAAGAGGCTGTAACTGCTCTAGAATCTCATTCTAGCACATCAGCCATGGCAATGGTTATAATCTCCCTGAGGTGCATTTTAATTTTTTTCAACCCTCTCCAGATTTGGATTTATCCAAGAATCTAATGTGGAGGGTGTCTTCCCCTTCATGACTTTTCAAGGGGCAAAGAAATAGGCATTGGCCAATCCTATATAAAAACAAGGTCATAGAAATCTGGTTTGAAATAGGCACTTCCAGAGAGTGGCTAGACCACACAGGGAGGTGGCTTTTATAATAAAAGATGTTCTTTGGGAGCAACAAAGTTGTTATGCCCATCTTACAGTTGGCAGCACAGAGGTTTAGAGAGATAAAATAAGTTTTCTCTCATTTATGTAAGACCACGAGCATCTGACTCTAAGGCCTTTAAGCTCTAAGGCTCTTTGCTATTCTACCTCTCAGCATCTCCTAAAGCTGTGGTCAGCAAACTGAGGCTCAAGAGCCACATACGGTTCTTTGGCCCCTTGAGTGTGGCTTTTCCACAAAATACCATGGTCTGGGCAAGTCTATTTTGAAGAAGTGGCATTAGAAGAAGTTTAAGGTAAAAAAATTTGGCTCTCAAAAGAAATTTTGATCGTTGTACTGTTGATATTTGGCTCTGTTACTAATGAATTTGCTGACCACTGTCCTAAGGGAATCAGAATTTCAATCTGGAAGGTGATCTGGTTCATCTTTTATTTTCTAGATGACAGATTGAGAGCCTTGACTAAGGACTCAGGGTGGGTTGGTAAAAGCGTATCACCCAAGGCAAGAGAGAGCAGAACCCAGAAATACATGCTACACAACTGTACGAATTTTATATTGAGGAATGTCTAAAAGGTGAGTTATGAGTTGGTCCGAAGGCTGTGGGTTATTGTTAAGCTAAAAGGCTAGTTCTGGAATTTTATATCATTTTAAGGTTAATGTGGCAAATTCATAAATTTAGGGACAAAGAAAACGAATTTGATTCAGGGGTTGGCCAAAGTAGGTGGACAGTTGTGAATGTACAAAACACAGAGTTTGTTCTTCTATTGATATTATTACTTACTAATTATTGTACTACTTATTTGTACAATCCAGTTTTTTCCACCCCCTATAATACCTATTAAAAGAGGAATAAAAATTGGTCCTTTGGGGAAGATAGGAACAAGATCGAAAAAGGCAATTTTGGGAAAAATAAGACAGAAAGTTTTTGTGTGTGAGTGAACATATTTAAATTTGAAATGACAATGAAATGGCCAGAAAAACAAAAAAACAAAAAACAAGTGAAATAGTTAAGCACATGGAAAGAACTGGTGGGCCCTCGCCTGCTGCAGGGATTGCTTGTTTGGGGAGATGAAGTGGATGGAGAGAAAAATCACTCTTTTTTTTTATTATTGTTGTGAAAGCTAAAAATTGTAAGGCTGTCTTTTTGAAAGTTGATTTACTCTTTATTTTACTGAAACACACACACACACACACACAGACACACACACACACACAGACACACACACACACACACACACACACACACACACACACATCCCAGAACAGAAAATGAGTCATTTGGATTTATACATGGTTCCCACAAGAACCCAAATTACAAGTAGGATAAAAATCATATTTTTGGCATTCATTGAAGGCCAAATAGTTCTCCAAAATTGGATGAACGCTAACTGCCAGTGCTGTCACCACAGTCTTGCTTTGCTTCCTGGGCTGACTTTCTGGGGTCACATCCCCAGGAATGGCCTGGACAAATCATGACCTTTGCTGAAAGGCAAATCTGCCTTTAGGTTCCCCGCTGCCCTTTACAAAGCCTTCTGCCTCGTTGGAGGGCACATCCAGGACACCCTGTCCCCACACTGTCTTTACAGGCTGGTATCTCTTGTCCCTCTCAACCACGAGGCCTATCCCTTTGTTCTTCTCTTTATCGCTTTCCCAAAATATCAGTGCTTGTCCTTGGGTCCCTACGCTCAACAATCTTATAAACTCATTTACAGAGTCACTGAGTAATTGACCAGCAGTGAGTTCGGCATTTTTATTTCTCAGAAGCATTTGCTTCCTCTTTCCCATCCTACCCCCAACTTTGAAGTAGAAGATCTAACCCCTTACCCAGAATGAAACATTTTTTTTTTTATTAGAATTTAAGGGAACTTTGAAGGGAAGTCTGCTCTTCCAACCAGCACAAGCTGTTTTTTTCTTCTTCTTTTTTTTCCTGCTTGGAATGTCCTCTCACTCCACCTTTTCTATTTGGTGAAACTCCTGCTTATTGTCCATAACCCTTTCCAAACGTGATCTCCATGCAGAAAATCTTCCTGTCTCTCTAGAACTGGTGACCCCAGGAGCCACTACCCATATCAAGCTTCTGAGCACCTGAAAGGGGAGTCCTCCAAAGTAAGACGTGCTAAAACACAGATCGGATTTATAACACTTAGCATAGAAAAGTAAACTGCCTCACCATTATTTATATTGATTGCATACTGAAATAATATTTTGGATATATTGAGTTAAGGAAAATATATTATCAAATCAATGTCATGTGTTTCCTTGTACTTCTTTTTAATGTGGCCACTAGAAAATTTCCAGTGCATCAGTGGCTCATGTTTGTGGCCTGCATTTGGTTTCTGTTGGGTGGCACTGTGCTAGTGTCTATGGTTTAGAAATGGCAGTGGGAGCTGAAAAATGCAGCTGCTTTCTGTGCGAATAACCTTGGAGTGGCACTTTGGAGTAAAATAATATGTTTCTGATGTATGTCAATAACATATTCAAGGTAACCAAATATTCAATCTTTGTTATTATATCCAAGCAATATTAATCTCTCATTATACACGAAATTCCCATTTCCTCTCCTCCCACCCCTAACTCTAAAGATAAAAAAGACAAACCATCAGAAACAAAAACAAAACAAAAAAACACCAGAAAAACCAGTGTGATAGTGTGTGTAGAGTCTTTTGTTCAGTTCACCAGCCCCTAGATTGAATGTGAAATATGAAATATGCTCCAATTAAGCATAGACAACTGTGAGAAAAAGTAGAAGAAGGAATGAAACTAATAGTAGCTGCTACACACAGTGCTAGACACTTTAACACAATGAGATGTTCTTGAACCGTGCTTAGTGGAACCAAAGTTCTGAGGGCTACTCATATACATTATGTTTGGGTAGGGTTAGGGAGAAAGTTTCATGGTTGAATCACAGTGGAAAAGGCTGTACTAATCCATTAACCAGATTTCTTTATTGCAGGACTTTCTGAAGACTTTAATATACTATGAAGCATATGGTAGCTCAAAAGGGAAAGATTGAATTCAGTGTTTACCAACTTATTTGATCAATAATTCTCTTTTGAGGAGCATCCATCAACATCACTGGTTGGTAAAATGTGTCATAGACAATGTTGCTTCATCTGCATTTTACGGGGGGAAATTGTGGCTTAGAAAGTTAAGTATCTTGCCCAACATTTCCATCTCACATAATTGTTTTGTGGCTGAGCCAAAATTCCAAGTTGATATTTATGCCAGAAGAGAGAATTTGAATATTATTATGAATAATTAAAATAAACTGATGAACAAAATAGATCTAGAGATGTAGAAGCATGGAACAGACTGATGAATCTCAGGGGGAAGGCCAGGAGGGGGTGGAGGGATGGGAAGAGATTAACCGAAGAACTGGTATGCATATGTGCATAATCCATGGACATAGACAATAGTGTGGTGAAGGCTTGGAGGTGGGGTGTGCAGAGTGCAGGGAGTCAGTGGAGAAATATGGGGGACATCTGTAATACTTTCAACAATAAAGATAAATAAAAAAAAGAAATACACTTAAAAATGACAATTCTCTCCACATATTCCAAGCTCATTGTCCCTCAACTCAGAGTCCACTCCCTCTTTGGTCTCCTTGGATGAAAGGGGTCTTCTTTTCTGCATTTTCAATATTCCTCATTCAAATCTTAGCACACATTGCTTTATTGTTAGCTTCAGATATGTATGTGTCTTATCTCTCCCAACTCACAGGGGCTTCATAGAACCTTCTTGGTTAATTAATGACCAATCTGTCTGGAGCTTAGTTATTAATGCTTTGCGGTATCTTTTTTTTTTAAATATATTTTATTGATTTTGTACAGAGAGGAAGGGCGAGAGATAGAGATAAAGAGTTAGAAACATCGATGAGAGAGTTATCGATCAGCTGCCTCCTGCACACCCCCTACTGGGGATATGTCCGCAACCAAGGTACATGCCCTTGACCAGAATCGAACCCGGGACCTTTCAGTCCCCAAGCCGACGCTCTATCTATTGAGCCAAACTGGTTTCGGCGCTTTGCGGTATCTTTTGACGGTATCCAAACACTACGGAACACTGGCTCTTGGTTCAGAGCCATCCCATGTTCACCCAAACTGCCAAGCCAGTATCAAATAGGCATGATGTTAAATACCAACGTACCTGTAAAATGCAGCTCATGATATCGGAGGCGATTTTTGCATGGGGGGTGTCTTCGTCTTTCCCGGAGGGTCTCAGGTTGTGCTCCAGGCAGGAGTCCCAGAGCCCTACGAGGGCCTTCGCATGCTTTTCAATGGACTCTGTCTCTCTGATGGCTGTGGTGATTCTTGTGATGCAGATCTCAACCACGGCCTGGTCATTGTTATTGGTTTGATAATCCTATTGGGAAGAAAACCTCCATGTAAATACTATGAAAAATAATCCCTCGAAGGTCTGCCAAATCACATACTGAGTCATTTAGCAAAACAAGGGGGCCACACAGTGTGCCTGGAGGTAAGGCCCGATACCACCAGGACCTCCTTTTTCCGAGTTGGGACTCTTGAGGAAGAGACAGAGTTGGAAACGTGTTCAAATGGAGCAGACCCATGTGTCACAGACGCACAGACAGGGAGCAGTGAGAGTCCAAAGGAACTTAGTTATTCACTCGCAAGTGGGTTTAATCTTCAAGCTATTTCAGTGTCTAAGTCCATTATTTTTTGCTCGGACATTTCAATAACTTGGGTGAAATGTTTCAAGTTACCGTCCAACTTCTCCTCATAAGCTTTCTCTCTCTGTACACAATAGAACACATCATGTCATCTTTCTCTTTTTCAATCCAGATAACTTCCAAATCCAATTTAACTTTTCCCAATGCTGTTGTTCTGTTTTAATTCTCCCTCAACTACCAATCATCTTTATTGAGAAATATAATATGATTCTTCAAAACATCTACATGTGAAAAACAGGCACATTGGTTTAAGTTGGAAAGAGGCATGACTGGCAACTCCATGGTGGACTGACAGAACTGCAAGCATAATAGAACAGTGAGCCATCAGATAGGAAGTGATAGGGCTTTCTATCCCACTGCAAGTTCTAGCTCTAACAACTATTTTATACCATTACCACTGCTGCTGCAGTAATCATCTTATACACAAAGCTATCTTTCTCTTTTTAAAATATATATATACAATATTTTAAGATTTGAGAGAGAGAGAAGAAGGGAGACACACAGAGATAAACATTGATTTGTTGTTCCACTTATTTATGCATTTATTGGTTGAATCTTGTATGTGCCTTGACCAGGATGGGATCAAACCCACAATGTTGGCACATCAGGACAACACTCTACCCAGCAGCCAGCATGAAGCCCTCTCCACAGTCTACATTACTTCTAGCCTAGATTCTCCAGAAGTGGACATTTCTGAGGAAAAGGAGAGGAATATTTTTAATGCTCATGATACACTCTGAGGAATTATTTTCCAGAAAGGTCTTACAGATTTATACTCTCATCAGCTGGGTGGAAACATGCTCTGCCTATTGTAGCTTTGCAAGAGCAAAGTATTCTTAAGTTTTGCTAATGCAACCAGTGAAAAACAATATCTCATTGCTATTTTACTTGGAATTTCCTTGATAGGAAGGGAGATTAAATATTGTGTCATGTTTATTGGCCATTTGTATTTCCTCCTTTAGGAATTGCCCACTGTATCTGATGTCTATTTTTCTTCAGATGACTTCATTAGTTTTGGACCTCCCTTAGAGCAAAATCTTTTTCTATCAAGGATATCAAGCCAACATTTGGCATATTGCTTGCGAATGTGTCTCCATGCTTCAGTATTTTTAGATTTTATTTATTTTTTTGCTGCTATTTATTGACATGCTGAGTATTCAACTCTGTCAATCATTTTGTGGCTTTATTGATTTTCATTTTTTTAAAGGGGAAAGTTAAGTTGTTTAAATTATTAATACTTTTTGAAAATGAAATCCATGGACATGGTACCAAAATTCAAAAGAAACAAAGAAAGAGTTCACAGTGATAAGTAGTCTCCCTCTCACCCCTGTCTCCTTGCCCAAGATCGCCAACTGCTCACATACTTGGCAGAGGCACCCTAAGCACAGGCAAATGTTCCTTTCTTCCTCTGTTACTTCTCTAGCCACTTTTCTTTTTACTTCAAGTTTTCTTATCAAAAGTTTCATAAAATTTCACCCATATTTTTTTTAGATTAAAAATATGTGAAAACATTTAACATTTGATATTTTAAAAATTTATTTCTTAGCTATTCATTTAACTCTTAAATCTATTTCATATTTATGGAAGTAAGCAAATATGCACATTGTCTGAAAAGCTAATCAAGTTCTCCCAACATTGTTTACTGAATAATCATTTTCAATAATTGTTTCATATACATTAGGTTCATTTCAAGGAAGCCTTTTTGTTCCATTTCTCAATTCTTTTACAATACTCATTTAGCTATTTTCTTCATCTAAGCTTCACAAACTTTTACATGTTTACTGGTGTATTTTATGTTTTTATAGTTGCTGTTAGCAAAATCTTTGTTTTTTCCTCATTAGAACTTTTAGTTATTGCTGATTAAGTCAACCTACAGTTGTTTCTTTGTATTTATTTTGTACCCAAATGATTAGCCCCACTCTTAATAATTTTGATAACTTTTCAAATCATTCTCATGGTTTTTTGAAAATATTTTTGTATTATAACTATATCTCATATATCTCATGGTATATAGTGTCAGCTACAATTTCCTAAGCTATTTCAAACAAAAGAGATAAGAGCAAGAATATGGTTTAGTTTCTTGTTTATATTTCCTTATTTTTTATATAAAATTTTATGGCCAAAAGCAAGAAATTGCAAAATGTTTTATTTATTTTTAAATGCTTTATATCATATAGAATAATAATGTTTAGTATATGATAATAAAAGAAAAAATTCTCCAAGGAAAAAATAGCAACCCTAAACTTATATGGAGATAATTATAAAGCTTTCAGATTCATAAAGTAATCTTGCCAAAAGTACAAGGAGAAATTAATAATATTATAGTGGGAAATTTTAAAACATCTCTCTTATTAGTTGACATTTCAAGCAAACATAAATCTATTTAAGATATAATAAATTTGACCAATAAGATTAACAAGAATGTTTAAAATCAAAATACTTTCTATTTTTAAAGTTTATTTGTTGAATAAATAGAAAAAATATAGACAAATTATTAGTATTAATAAGAGCCCTGAATGAGTCTACTGGATACAAGAGCACTACACAAATGCCATTTCTGTTATAATCACCTTAAAATATACTTATGAAATACAATTTTTAAAAAGGATGCCATTTATAATCTCAGCTAAAAATATTATACTTATAAATTTAAAAAAGATGTGTAAGCCTCTTAAGATTCTTAAGAAAATAAACTTTATTGAAAGATTCTTAAGAAATGCTAAATAATTGGGTAGATATACAAGATCTACAGATAAGAAGATTATGCCATAAAGATATTAATCTTGTTTAAATTAATCTATAGACAAAGAAATTCCAATCAAGGTATGACAGAATCAATCATGAAACTTGACAAAATTGTTAAAAAAACAAAACCAAATCAAAGCAATTTTAAAGAAGGGATTGGAATACTTGTCCTACCAGATATTAATATTTATTATAATAAAAAGTGAAATGCAAGCTACATTTGGAGTAAGAGAAGCATAAGTGACAAAGGATTAGTATAAGAATATAAAAAAGTCCCTCAAATTAATAAGAAAAACTACATATTTTTAAATTTCAATAGAAAAATGAGAAGAAAAACAAAGCTCAATCATAAATAAGTGCTTGATGGAGAGGGAAAGCCAAATGACAAATCGCAAATAAAGTTATTTTTTAAATGATAACTACACTAATAATGAGGGGATTGCAACTTTTAATGATAATCAGACTCTCTGTTTCACTTAAATTGACAAAAACTTAAAAAATCTCCTAAAAGCAAGCGCTGGTGAGGCACTGGAACTCTTATTCATGGCTAATGGGAGTGTAAATTGATGTAACCACTTTGGAGATCAATTTGGTGGGACATCAGAAAGTTGAAAACATTCAAAACCTCCAAACCAGTGGTTTCATCCCGAGTTGTGTACACTAGACATACTTGTACACTTGCCAAATTTGCTAACCATAAGAATGTTCACTGTAGCCCTGTTTAGATAATAAAAGTCCATCAAACAAAGAATGGATAAACAAACTGTGGCACAGCCATGCAGTGGAATTCTCTATCCCACTGAAAACAAATGAATTGGATCTTCATGCAGTGACATAGCTAAACCTCAAAAACATAATGTTGAGCTTGTAATTGTATTTATATAAAGTTTAAAAACATGAAATATAATACTATAAGTGATTTTTGAATCATGACCATGTAGCAAACAGATAAAAGCATGCACAAATAAATACCACAATCAGGATATTTATTACCTTTGGGAGGAAAGGGAGGAGAAATGGATTAGAGGTTATTATGCGAGTGATTTTAAATGTTATCTAATTACTTAAATTGGGTGATTTTTGAGTGCCTAACATTTTTTATTGCTATAAAATATTAAAGAGAACTGGAAGGTGGTGGAACAATTAGGCAGGCCTGGGTGAACATCACGGGAAAGGTGGGGGTAGGGCGGGGAAGGAGATGAATGGGTAAGGAGACAATCTCATCTGAAATAGTCTGGGAGGAGAGCCAAGGTAGCAGAAGTATAGTAATTATTAGGTAAAGGTATCCCAGAAAAGACTAGAAATGAAAGGACGAAGCTTAAAGTCATATTGGAGAGAATTTTTACTGCAAAGTTACACTTTCAAATCAAATAATAAGGACAAAATAGTTTCCATTAGTGTTTTGGAGAGCATGAACTACAAAAAGAGGGCATGAACTACAGAATAGAATCTAGTAAGTTCCAATTATTTTGTGAGTGACTTTAGAAAAAGAAATGGAGTCTTGCTTACTGAGTTTTCAGATCTATAAAGCTAAGAATGTAACTAATATATTGGACAGAATCATGATTTTTATTTATTTATTTATTTATTTATTTATTTATTTAAAAATTTTTTGTAAATCCTCACCAGAGGATACTTTTCCATTGAAATTTTTTAATTGATTCCAGAGAGGGAGAGAGAGAGAGAAACATCAATGATGAGAATCATTGATTGGCTGCTTCTTGCACGTCCCATATTAGGGATTAAACCTGCAACCTAGGCATGTGCCCTGACCAGGAATCAAACCAGTACATTCTGGTTAACAGGTCGACGCTCAACCACTGAGCCATGCCAGCTGGGCTCCATTGACTTTTTAGGGAGAGTGGAAGAGAGAGGCAAAGGCAGAGAGAAACACATCAATTGGTTGCTCCTACATGAGCCCTGATCAGGGCCCTGGCCAGGGAGAAGCCTGCAACCAAGGTATGTGCCCTTGACCAGAACTGAACCCGGGACCCTTTAGTCTGCAGGCCGATATTCTATCCACGGAGACAAACCAGCTAAGGCTTGTGAGTGACTCTAGAAGAAGGATTGGAGGCTTGCTTACTGAGTTTTCAGATCTACAAAGCTGGGAATGTAACTAGTATACTGGACAAGAATCATGAATTTTAGAAAGGTATGGATATCCTGGAAGAAGGGCCTGAAAACACGCATATTTATTTATTTACTTACTTATTTTATATTTTATTGTTTTTCCACAGAGAAGAAGGGAGAGGTATAGAGAGCTAGAAACGTCGATGAGAGAGAAACATCTACCAGCTGCTTCCTACACACCCCCCACTGGGGATGTGCCCGCAACCAATGTACATGCCCTTGATCGGAATCGAACCTGGGACCTTTCAGTCCGCAGACCGATGCTCTATTCACTGAGCAAAACCGGTCTCGGCTGAAAACACGCATATTATTGCAATGGTTCAAAATGTGACATAATTCACTTACATTTTGTTTTCAAGTTATCCAATTACAAGTCTTGATTCAATTTGAGAATTTTGGCTCATCACAGTATAAATGTGGCCAACCATGTGATGTTATTATTGAAAAGAAATTTTAGAAATAGAGTGTCTGAATGGTATTAGCAATTGTTCTAAGCAAGTGGTCCAAATATTGGACAATGATACTTTATATTAATAAACTAGGAAGATTCCAGCGGAGTGTAACCAGAATGCTGAGAATTCAGGCAGTACTTAGGAGCTACAATGAGGCATCCTCCAAGAACTAGAAGACAGGATTGTCCTTTGAGAATTAAACAACATCAGCAAAATCCATGCATTTAAGTGGAATTAGCCAGATACTGGGTACACCCAAGATGCTCTATGAGAATGGGTGACTTCACAGGTGAGTGAGATATGATCTCAGGGAGGTAGAAGTAAAATGTAATTATAACAGAGGAGGAAGAAATCTAATCAATAATATTCCTTATCCAGTGGAAGATTGGGTGAATAGACTTGGGAGAGAATAGCATGGAGCACACAAGAATTCTAACTGACACGAGTTTTATTTTACATCGAAAACCAGTAAGTCAGCATTCTAATTTATACTTCTAAGTCTTGCATTTGGATAGCTTGATTTGGATAACATTTCTCGTGTACTGACAAAATTGAGTTTCCAGACCTGAGACTGGAAATGTGAGGTGAGATAGCCTTTCCCTGTCATAGGCCTGCCCCTTCCTTGTCCTAGGAAAACATGAGGGCACTAAGGATGTTTAGCTGGGAAGAGAGAAGCCAGAAGTGAGACTGATACCCATCGTCATATGTGTAAAGTTCTTGTAGGAGCAGACATTAGATTCTTTTGAATGTTGGGGATGTGGGGTGGGGAGGAAGCACAATTGATAGAAAAAAAAACAAAGAATAAGATTTCATCTGGCTGAAAGGAGAAACACACTAACCCTTTGAACAGTAAACAGCTCTCTTTTTGTCAGTTAGGATTTCGTGGTAATAAGCAACAGAAAAAGTTTAGATAGCTGTAGTAAAATAATCATAAGCTATAAGGTGGCTCACAGATTTGAAGTAAAACTGCACTCTCTGGCTTGGGAAGGGCAGTGACCAAAGCAGATATAGTGATAGAGGAGCAGGAACCAAAAAACTGTTTCTTGAGGGCACCATCATCATGACAAATCACTCCGTGCTGATACCTGTCCTCCCCGCCCCCCAGAATTACTGGGAAAGAAATTCTAATTGTTATAGCTTGGGTCAGATGTTCCCACTTCTCTCCCCCCTTCTCCTCAGGCAAAGGCAAGGTAGGGAACATTGGCCGAAGGCTTCATCCAGGCTGTATGCAACGGAACTGGGAAATTTATGAAAGGAATGTTGAGAAGCAGGAAAAATATCAGAACCTATTATACTATGTTCTCATCTTTGCAGGTCCAGAAGGAAAGGCCACCTATTTGTTAGAAATCCTAGAGAAGAAACTTCTGTTCTGGAAGCCAGTTGGAAACGATGATTTAGAAGGTTCCTTCTAGTTCTATGTTTCTAACAAGAAACTAAGAAGTGGAATTGATTACTGAGACCAAAAGTCATTAGGAGAGAACTGATCATAAAGGATGGAATACGGCTAACGGTGAAGTGAGCCATAGAATAGGTATGGTGGTTCAGTGGACTGATCATTGGCATTGGTCATAGAATGTCATGGGTACTGAAGCATCATGGATAGGTTTTGAACAATGGAGAGACATGTAATAAAACCTGGTATAGGCAGTTTGATCTGGTGGTTGTTGGTAGAAAAATACTAGAGAAAGGCAGGACCTAGAGAGTGGGGGTGGAGAAGGTCTGTTGTTTTGAAAGCCTGAGCCAGGGTGATAGCAGCAGGAAGGGAAAAGGAGAAGATGAGATGGCATTCCTATAGCAGTTTCTGCAGAACTCACAAGGCAAGAGGAGAGTGAGAAAAAGGGGTCAAGAGTGACTCCAGGTTTCAAACCTGGAGATCTAGAAAAATGAAAGATGATAACTTTGAATTAAGACATATTGATTTTGAGGTCCTGGATATCAATTACTATGAGCTGAAGCTTAGGGAGAACTGTCAAGCCTAATAACATAGACTTGGAATTCCCTCATGTAGAGACTGCACTTGAGGTTATATGAGTAGATTATTTTTCTGTGAGGAGAAGATATAATGCAAAGGGGCAATTATGTCTTTTTAGAAGGAAGAACTAAGAACTAGAAGTAGAGTCCACTAGAAATCATTAAAGGAATAATGAAACCAGAACTGGCTATTAAAGGAGCAGAAAGGGAGAAGGAATTCCACTAATGGTTATATTTATAACTTGGATTGATTAGGAAATGTAAATATTGGGTTGATCTGAGTGGTTATTGCATTTAAAAATTGAATTGATCTCCATGATCCCTCTAAAAAATGATTATTATTATTCTTCCACCATCTGCTCTATGCCATGGTTACAGATAGGGACAGGGAAGAAGTGAGATATGAAAGAAGTTAGTAGATGAGGAATACAGGAGAACTACTGACTTACAGACTTGCGGGTCTGGTGGGATGGTTGACTGGAGGGCTTAAAGGATGGACAGTGCCCTTGATGAGACAGTGGGACACATGACAGACAGAGCTCACAGTCCTAATATATGAATTTAACATCCGTGAAACAAAGCAATTGGTGAAGGAAGCAACCATAGCAAATCCCCGACACCAGTGACCTCTAGTGGAAATGGGTTTCAGGGAATGTGTATATATATTATACCATGTATTTATTGTACCCAATAGCTATTATAAATAAGATAATATTTGTTAGAAATGTCTATATTTATATTTATATATAAAGGTAAATATATTATTAACTGCATATACATATATTATTAGATTAGATGAAAATCAGTGGCATATTCACCCAATTTATTTCTAGAGGAGTGTGATGAATGGGGTTGTTGGAAATAGCACATAAATCTTACCCAGAAAGTGGAAATGTACCAGGAATACTTTGTGTTTTGAGCCAGACTAAGTTGATTAATGTTCTGGAAAAAAATGTGGACACATAATTGCTGTCAAAGGCATTACCTGAGAAAAGAAGCGTGTTTGGGCAGTGACTTCACTGGTCACCGGGGGAAAGTGGCATGTTAATGGCCACCAGCAAGAGAACATGCTGACAGCTTGAGGAGGAAACTGAGCTGGTTGCTAGCACGGCCTTCAAATATTTCTTCTTTGTAACATGGAAGAAAGCTTTTATTTCTGAAGTGTGTACACATTTGCTAATTCGGTATTTTGTGGCTTGAGTCCTGTCTCTTTCCTCTGCCCCGTGGGTGTTTATGCCACGTGTTGGCAAAGGTTGTTGAGCTGGGAGGCTGTTCGAGAGGAAGGTTGGTGGCCTTGGCCTTTGAAATGGGACCAGGCTCATGAAGGGTCCAAGTGTGATCAGGAAGGCCAAGATCAAAGCACACCAGGCACTCCACATCCACTCCCTTGGGGAAGTACTTTTAGAATATATCATCTTGACATTGAGGAGAAACAAAGGAATGGGAGGGGTGATTGAAAGTTTAAATTTGCCTGATCCCACTGGGGGCTAATAATTAGAGAGGTGAACTAAATGCTGAGGGTGGGGGAATGTAGAAAAAAGAGCAAAGGAAAAGAAAACAACCAAGCCCGAGATGATATAGAAGCAGAAAGAGTCAGTGTTAACAAGCCCTGGGCAACTGTCACTTCTGACAGCAGAGTGATGGTTGTCCTTGTCTCATATTACTTGCACGGCAGGAGGTGTCATCTGCCTTCTTTCATTATTCAGCCTCCTCTGCACACCTGCTTTGTTTACTAATGCTGGCGTGCAGCTTGGCAGGTCTGCTTTCCCCCGGATTTGCTCCCTCTCCTCCTCATGTCATTCCAGGGATATAGAAATAAACCTTAGAAAAACCTTTTGCACCCTGGTCTGCAATTTCAGGAGTTCTGGTCTCCCTGAGTGGGCAAAGGCAGCCTGGTTCCAACTCCATGACTTTGCTGGTTTTATTTCTTAGATGCCAACCAAACCACAGAGCAGAGTCAAGAGAGACCCACATCAGTGATCCTTTCTCTTTTCCCCACAAAGATCCTCCCCCCACCAGGACTGATTCAATCAGTTGGCTCTAGAATAGATCCTTTCTAGTCTGAATGGAGATCTAGTCTGAAAATTCATTTACTTACCGAAGATGAGCTAATTATTTTAATTTGCTCCAGAGCTTCTGTCAGGCTGTCTTCAATCTCAGAGTCCTCCAAGGAGAAGAGGTCTCCAGCTCGTGAAAGATCTTTTTGTCCCAAGACCAGTCTGAACAGGTGATGCATGGTGCGGAGTTTGATAGTCAGTTGGCTTTCTGTAGGCCCAGGGCCATGTGTCCCAGTTAGCAGAGGTTAGTAAGGCAAAAACATGGAGCAGGAGGTATGCTTTGTATTTCTTGAAAGATCATTTTTCTCCAGACTTTGAGGTCTTCTTTGACACTCTCTGCAAGAGAAACAAATGACACAATGCAGCCATTAGTGGGAAAACATGACCTCAGAATGTGAACTTGATGCCCAGAGAAGGGGGGAAAAAAAGACCTTTGGAAATATGCATAGAGAAGTGATTTTCAACCCTTCCCATCTCGTGGCATTCATACACTATCTACTAAAATTCTATGGCATACCAAAAAAAAAAAAAAAGTTTTTTTACTTACCTTACAAAAAACAGGTATAATTTTGATTCATTCACACAGGACAGCTATTATATTATTATTTTGGCTGTTGTCATTGTTTTTTTTTTGTTTTTGTTTTTGTTTTGTTTTTGTTAACAATCTAAGGGAAAAGAGGTCAGTGCCCCTGACTAATGAGCCAGGTATTGAGTGTTTTAAAAGTTATCGTGACACATGGGCTGAAAATCACTGGCATAGACTAACAGATTCCGGTTTGATATCTTCATATGAGATCTTTCCTTATTTTTCTCTCAAACGTCCTGGAAAAATTATTAGCTTTATCCAGAATTTAACTTCAGCCATAAAAAGGCAACATAAATCCCACACTTATTTTCTTCTTTCTATGTACAGTACTTCTCCTTTTTTCCCCCATGACACAGAGAAAGGAGTAGATAAGTAACAAAGATGCCCAACACTTGCCAGAATTCCCACCAACAGATTCCCATGGAAACCAAACAGAAAAGAGCAAGGCAAGGAAAGGAAGAACATAGACCCACTGCCTGGTTTCCTCTCTTTTCCTGGACATGGGAACAAATACTTCTCCTCTGGTCTAGGTGTCTCTGCTAGATTAACCACAGAAGCTGCCCGAACCCTCACTCCAGAAGATGACCTCAGTACTTGCCCTATTCTTATACTCTCCCTGAACAAGTAGCAGTGACATAAAGGACTCTTCCTAGGAGTGTGTGGCCAGATAAACTTGGACAGAATGTGAACATGATCTTGAGCAGTGATCTTGAAGATAACATTTCAATGCAGGCTGAAGAAGTAGGGTTTTGGGATCAGGCAATCCTCCCTCTATTTCCACAGCAGAAATAATAAAAGTCCCACTATACTTCTCATTCTATTAGCAGCCCAAAGATAGTAGGGAAATGGCACAAATTAAATATCTGACTATTCTCATCAGCTCCCTTCTGGGCCTATTAAAATCACAGACTAATTACATTGCAGAGATCTTAGCTATTATTTAATGGACAGGGAGGTTGAATGACTTCACCAAGGCCCCCTGGAAACTGTACCAGTGCTGTTTTCCTAAATCCAAGCTAGTGAGCTTTCCCAGGATTTACAGTGGAGTCATCTCATACATGTAAGTAACTTACAAATGTAGCTACATGTACTGAGAGTAAGAATGGCAGTGATTTATCTTATCTAATAAAGGAGTGATATGCAAATTGACCATCACTACAACACACAGGATGGCTGCCCCCGTGTGGTCAAAGATGGCTGCCCCCATGTGGACACAAAATGGCTGCAACAAAATGACCAGCAAGGGAGGGCAGTTAGGAGGGACCAGGCCTGCAAGGGAGGTCTGTTGTGGGCGATCAGGCCAGCAGGGGAGGGCAATTGGGAGGGACCAGGCCTGCAGAAGAGGGAAGTTAGGGCAAACAGGCTGACAGGGGAGCAGTTAGACATCAATCAGGCTGGCATGGGCGTGGTTAGGGGGTGATCAGGCTGGCAGACAGAAATGGTTAGGGGCAATCAGAAGGCAGGCAGGTGAGCAGTTGGGAGCCAGCAGTCCTGGATTGTGAGAGGGATGTCCGACTGGATTGGGTCTAAATGGACAGTCGGACATTCCTTGAGGGGTCCCAGATTGGAGAGGGTGCAGGATGGGCTGAGGGACACCCCCATCCCGTGCACAAATTTTATGCACCAGGCCTCTAGTTTAATATAAGCAATAGGCAATTCTGCCAATCATTTTACTCTTCATGTGCTTCACAGAATGAGTGTGAAAAGGACTAGGGGAGCCTGTTGCTTCCTGGGCCATCTCAGACATCCCTTCTGAGCTATCACTGTGGGAGCACCTCTCTATGCTGAATGCAACTTGAAAGTTTAAAGACACATACTTTCTATGCAATATGGTCTCTCAATACAAGCCAAATACATCCTCAGTAGTATTCCAAAAGATGCAATTCATAGGCCATTGAAGAGATTCAAAGGCTAATATTGCCTACATGCAACTTTTACCTACCTACCATCTTTAGAAAAATGACACCCAATATTTATACTGCACATGCTTGTCTATGTGTCAGGTACTGTTCCAGATGCTTTGTAAACTTTAACTCATTTAACATCAGTAATAAATATATGAGGATTATAACCTTGACAATGACTATATGGCAGGTGAGGAAGCCAAGGCATTAAATAACTTGCCCAAGCTACACAGCTAGTAAACTGGGGAGCTAGATTTTGGGTCCAGAGTGCTAAATTCCAAGTTCATTACCATTGTGGTATCTTGATTCCTTTTGAGGCTGTTATTAGAAATAAAGGCCCTCAGAGCATTAGTAACATTTGAGGGTGAAGAGGTGGGTAGAATCTTTAGAAAATGAACTCCTCTTTCCTCCTGCATTGACCCTACATCCCTGCCCATCTGTGCTCTGGGGTTTAGGCTAATCAGAGAGCAAGAGAGTCACAGAATATGAGCATGAACTTGAAGGAAGAGAAGCATAGAGGAAGATAAATGGAGGAGACTGGTAGGGAAGATTTAGGGAGAGGGGAAAAGAGAGAGAGGGGTGAGGGTCCTACAGAGAAGTTTGCACCCTGGCAAATGTGGAAAGGTGAATTAAAATATCTACAGAAAAATTGGGACATGTTTCCCCCTGAATTTTCTCCTTAACACAGTCTGCACCCCCTTTAGACATTTATAGTGACGAAGTCTCAGAGAAATAATATTCAGGAAAATAAGACATTGGATGGAAATGACTTTGCCTTGACCAGTCAGCTTCTTGGTCAATATCTGGCACTTCCTAAATCAGATGCAGCTGCCCCAGCTCTGAGATGGAGCAGAAATACCAGCAGGGAGAGGAGCACCCACACTGACAGCTGGCACAAAGCCCCATTCACACTTCCACCTTCAGCTGTTACTCTTGAATGTCCATCATGTGCCAAGCATTATTGTTAAACACACAGCTGGCACATGAAGATGTTCACACATCTAGGGTGGGGATGGGGCAGATAAGACTTATACCAAGCATTCTCCAATTGCAGGGATGGCCCAGAGAAAAGGTTCCTGTGTACTGTAAAAGGAACTACAAGGGAAAGAGAGATCTGTCTTAGGGAAAGATGACAAGCAATGGCTTTGTGGAGGAAATGGTGTTTGAGCCAAACCTTTTAGAATATGCTTCATTCTAATCCATGTGTCCTAAATACATACTAAGTCAATTTCTCATCTGAGGTTCAAGTCCCAGACTGGCCAGTTAGTGGTTATGAGACATTTGGCTCATGCTTTTCCCTTCCTTGAGCTTCAGTTTCTTGATCTGCAAAATGGGGCTAATCCATGCCTACTCTATCTCATCAGATAATTTTGAAGATCAAAGCTTCGAACACTTAAAAGAATTCTTTGTCAAAGAATGACATCAACAGTTGATGCTTAGTGGGTGTTATACATGTGTCAGGGACTACTTCAAGGACTTCTCAAAGACAGAGTCATTTCATTCTCATGACAATTCCATGTGATGAGAAAATGATGTTCAGAGAGGAAAATAGCCAGCCCAGGGAGATGTAGAGTAAGCTGCAGAGTTGGGGGGAAGAAGGCACCTGGCCTGCCACGACAAAGCCTGCTAGGGGCTGTGTACAGCTGTATACATGACCATGTGTGTGATCATTATTCAGCTGCCTCCCTTCCCATCAGTCCCCATTTAAAGTGCATCTCACATGCCACACTACACCATCCTCTCCTGGATAAGGATCAGCAAGACACACGTTATTTATTTTTCAGCAGCTCAGGTCAATGTTTCTCTCAAGTGTCTGGTCTCTTTGCCACAGCAGAGAAAGTCAGAGCCAGATCAAATTCCACCTCATCTTCTAGGGAACCCACCAGCCTTCTCAATGGCATTGCCCCATGGCCTATTCGCATGCACACAGAGGCACCCACCATACACATAAGCATGCATACACATATATGCACACGCTCCGATCCTTCCTACACACCAAGCTCTTTCTTGACACTTTCCTCTCTTAGTTCTCCCATCAACCATGCAGGTAGATATTATCACCAAAGAGCAAACAGGACTGGGGAGATTAAACATCCTGTCCCAGCTTCTACCCAGAGCCAAGATTCACATCCAAGTAGGTCAACCTCCAAATCTCGCACTTTTTGAATGACAAAAAAAAAAAATCTGGCTTACAGAATTGCTTCTCACTCCCAACATTCACACGCATAAGTCCTCTTTCTAACATTGCAGGGAGCATAATCTGTAGTCCATGGTCTCCTTACTCGGTAAATATTTTTAAGCAGGTATTGGTGGACACGTCAGGTTTCTGTAAGGAGAAATAGACTCTACAAAAAGAGAAATGACTCTGCCCCCAGCAGGACACACGCCCCGGGAGTCCCAGCTCTCCCAGCAAACTCAATTTACCTGCGTGCTCCTCCCAAAGGCGCGCTGGCTCTTACTGAGCTGTAGGCTTGGGCAGGAGGGTTCAGGCAGCGGACGCCCAGGGCCCAGCGAGCGGAATCCACTCAGCTCAGTGAACCTGAAGTTGCTCATTGCGGTGCCTGTGCCTGGTGGAAGAATCCCAGGAATGCAGCCGGATGCCACCAGCAGTGGCTCCCGAGCGGGTCAGGTGACAGGCTGCACCTCGCCCAGTGGACAGAGAGAGCCGCCTCTGAGCGAAGTGCTGCTTCCTGGGGCGAAACATAAAGCCTGCTCCAGGAGGCTTGTTTTTAACAGAGCAAACAAAACTCCCTGTGTTCCTGAAAATCTATACTTTCCCTGGGAAGGATGGGGGGTGAGGGGTGGGGAGAAGCCTCGCAGGAAACACGGTTTCAACAGGACTTCAAGCAGGTGACTGGAATGGCTGTGGGGAGCCCTGTCACACAGCCTGGGGAAAAAAAGAGTTGTAACTTCATTAACACCTCCCTCCCTCCAGAGGTTTCACACTCGGAGGTGGAAACACTGAGCGTTTGACCGGTAGGAGCCAGGGCTCCTGAAGAAGTGATCCTCTTGTTCTGCCTCTGGAGCGGCGATGTCCACACTTTTCCATCTCATGGCAACGCAAAGTAATGATTGGAAAATTCTGGTGTGTGTGTGTGTGTGTGGGGGGGGTATATATATATATATATATTTTTTTTTTCTTTTTCTTTTTTCTGATTTGACCCAAAAAAAAATTAGGTATAATTTTGATTCATTCACACCAGATGCTATGGTTGTGCTGACTGTTGTCTTTTTTTTTTTTTTTTTTTTTTTTTAATTTGATCATCTAAAGGAAAAGAGGTCAGCGTTCCTGGCATAGCATGTTTTAAAAATTCTTGCGGTACAGGGGGAGATTAATACTGCTGCTCTAGATGAATACCGTTGAACGTTTAAGAATGCAGGAAGTTGCAAATAAGCGGAACAAACTTACCCCGCAAAAATGCACACAGCAGGTCCTTTTCATTCAACATCGATTTTGCTACAACGTTGATTACTAAGGAATTCAAGTCCCCCACCCGGGAGGCCACTGTCTGTGTAGAGTATGCAAGTTCTCCCCATGTCCATGTGGGTTTTCTCCCAGAGGAAAACGTGTACATGAGGTGAGTGGGCTTGTCTATATGGTTCCACACTGAGTGTGTGTGTGTGTGTGTGTGTGTGTGTGTGTGTGAGAGAGAGAGAGAGAGAGAGAGAGAGAGAGAGGGAGAGGGCGACTATTGTCTAGGCTGCCTCCTGCCTTGCATGCTGATCTGCTGGATGGGGCTGCTGCCTCAGGGACCCTGAACTGGAATAAATGGTTTTGAAAATAATGATCTGACTTGTTTTTATTAATCTTTCTTAAATGTATGCTTAGCTCACATTTATTTCAATGCTTATTATTAGAAGTGTTTTGGGTCTTTACTTCAAAGCTTGGTATGTTTTTTGTGACCAGATCTATGCCATAGGAACTTACTCTTGTGTATAACAATTAGCCTAGGGTGAAACTGGTTTTGCTATACCTCATTTTGCTGAAAGTTGCCATTTCCAAGAATCTATCAATGACATTAAGTGAGGACTTAGTGTACCCCCTTTTCCCCACTTTATTTGCTGGAAGGTTCTTTGTAAAAATCCATTTGGACCAGATATATCAATTTTTACTTTAAATATTACAGAGAAAAATGTTTAGTTGGCTTGACATATTGATACTCCAGAGGATAAAAAGGTACTGAAACCCTCTTTTATTGTTTTAATGATTAACTGCATTTTCTGAAAGTGTTTTAAACTGTTTAATTCTCTACCCCTATCCTGTTCCTATAGTAAGTCTACTACTCATCAAATCATCTATCTGCTGGTAAAGTGTAGGGGAAGCTGTGCTGTAGATAAATTCACCTGTGTGATCACAAAGATGTGGGCATTGTGTTTGTCTGTTTCCAGAGTGCTACCCAGCAAAGGTGTGTGGTCAGATGGCTGCACACCTGCCATTAAGCCAGATTATAGGCTCCAGACCTCATACAGCTTCCTATACATTTGGTGATCAATTATATTTTTAAGACATCAACACAGAGAAATGTCCCCTTGAAGAATTTCTTTTATAAAAATGGAGAATCTGGCCATCTGTGAGCAGGTGTATTCTTTTATTAGTAATTTTTCTGGTTTAAGGATAGTGATAACATCTCTTTTCACGGATAATTTCTATTTCTTTAGCATTCATTCTTTTTCACCCTCTATTCATTCCTAATGGTTCTTATCACTAGATTCTATCCAATTTTCTTATATATATATTTTTTTGAAAATATATATATTTTATTGATTTTTGTACAGAGAGGAAGGGAGAGAGATAGAGAGTTAGAAACATCGATGAGAGAGAGTCATCTATCAACCGCCTCCTGCACACCCTCTACTGGGGATATGCCTGCAACCAAGGTACATGCCCTTGACCGGAATCGAACCCGGGACCTTTCAGTCCCTAAGCCGATGCTCTATCCATTGAGCCAAACCGGTTTTGGCTAATTTTCTTATATTTTAAAAGAGTGTAGGGTCCAGCCCTAACCAGTTTGGCTCAGTGGATAGAATGTTGGCCTGAAGACTGAAGAGTCCTAGGTTCAATTCCAGTCAAGGGCATGTACCTTGGTTCAGACACATTCCCTGTGGGGGTGTGCAGGAAGCAGCTGATCGATAGCTCTCTCTCATCAATGTTTCTAACTCTCTATCCCTCTCCCTTCTTCTCTGTAAAAAAATCAATTATATATATGGTGTAGGGTCCAGACTTGGACACTATGGGACTTCAGTAAGAAGTGGGAATCTGTATACAAGTGAGTTAGGCTATGCCAACGCCTGCAGTATAAACCTGGGCAGATTAATTAACCTTCCAATCCTCAGTTTCTTATCTGCATGGGTTGTTGGGGGTGGGTGGGTTTAATGAGATGATGAGATTACATCAAACCTTTAACACAGATCTTGGTAGATAGCAACCACACAAAAAGTGACAGCAATTATATCCTTCAAAATGTTATCCTTCTAGGCCATTCTTCTGTTAACTTGTCCCCATGCCATCCCTCTTAAAAAGGAATGCACTACTGTACAGATACCTAACACTGAGTGCACAGTGTGAAAGAAAGATGCCCGGGTTTTCCTATTTGTGCCATATTTACATCCTACTTGTATTCTCCCTCGATCTTCAATCTGGGTACATCATGAACTATCTTGAATGTGCCCCTATTGTTTTAGATTTTTTTTTTTTTTTTTTTTGCAAACTTACCTAGTTCCCTGGAGAGAAAACCTTGCTGTGGCAATATGGCCAAACAGAAACAGTGAGAGGGGAGTGTAAAATTCCCTTCAGGACACCAGAGAGAATGTTCTTTATGACTTTTCAGAGTGACCTGCACTCCATGGACGCTAATAAAACATTGCTGGTTCACACTATTATGCACGAGTAGATGCTGCTAAGTGGAAATATAGGAAAACTCAGGAAGCCAATTTATTCTGATGAAATAAACCCCTAGCATCCATCCCCAGATTCAGGTGCTCCCTGGCGTAAGAATATCTATTTACACCGTGTCTTGGACAAGACTCTTGTGCATTAAAAAGTCTCATTTTACTAAAAGTCCCCACCGATGAACACAGACCCACTTGGGTTCTGGAGACTTTCGACAAAGTTCTCAGATAGATTTTCCCTTGAAAGAAAGGATTACAGATTCTTTTCAAGGAGCATCTTTTTCACACCGTGTGAAAGCACCGCAGGCGTTCCCATGGGAATTGGCCGCATACTTTCAGCCCTTTCCACAAGATGCCCATTGTTCCCGGTGGCTCTTAGGTTCCGCTGCCACTACATGTTGCTAAGCTTCCCTTCCACCGAGAGCCTCTGAGGCTGGGTATTCCACAGGATGCGAAAGAACTCAGTCCTTGTTCCTACTGCTAGGACTCACACAGTTCTAAGCTTGTAGCAGGCTTGTTACCATAAGCACACAAAAACATAGGCAAGAGCTCAACAACCATATTTAAATTGGAATATGCATTGCCATTTGCTGGAACCGAAATAGATAGGAAACATTTTTGTTTTTCTTCATGGAGAATGAGGGAAACATCTTCAAAGTTAACGAACTTTCTAAACCAAGAATGTGTGATCTGTCATCAGAATGTCATAGGGGATCCACTTTCACCTGTGAGGCTGAACTTTGCAGGTCATAGTTGTTTGTACATCTTGTTAAAATGTTTAAATCAGATTTTGTAGGTTTGTTTTTCCAGAAAGCATACCCCACCTCTCAAATTACAAGGAAAATCCAAGTTTCAGTGTATATGTATTTACACTTCATTCCATATATCAAATAACGGCATGCCCAAGTCCAACCAATGCCCGAAGTATTTTTTTTCCTATTCTTCACATTGAAGACATTTGTAAATGTCATGAAATCCAATGATTGATTACTGTCTCAATTTGAACAAATACAATACATGTTAAAAAGAACAAAAAGGCAGTTAGGTTTGATTATGATTTCTAAGATATCCAAAGTATCAGTGGAAAAAGTGACAGCAATAACAATCAGTAAGGGTGACTGTCCTACTTCGTGGTGTCATGATGTTACTGAATTTTCGTTGAAAGTCAGGGTCAGGCTCTTGCAAAATGTCTCTGCAGGTTAACAGAAGTAGGAAATAGATACGCACCTGCACTATGATGGAGTAAAACAAAGCTGCACAAAGAAGCACAGTGTTCGGCTCCTGGGGCCTAGAGACATGTTATTAATAACCCACTGAGAGGTGGCTTTTTTACCCATAGAACTGGAAAGCATGCATACAGGCTACACACACCACTCCCAGTGTGCTTTATCTGCATAAGCAGCCAGCCCCTGGGAGTTTCCCTGCCCAGCTCCGGCAGCCCGCCCCCCTTTCCCGTCTCACGGAAGTTTCTGGCATTTTCTTTAATTAGCTTTTGTTTTTGCTGAACAGAAGGACAGGAAAGAGGATAACCATACCTCTTAGCACAGGGCACTCTGGCCATCATAGGAAAGAGAAGGCAAACGCCTAATCTGTAGAGCAGTTCGTCTGGACCCCAGGGCCACCACGCTCAGACGCAGCCCAGTGGCCCCTGTCCGGTCCAGTCCTGCAGGCAGCAGCCGAGCTCCCCTGTGCTGCTTGTCAAGGCTGTGGTGCACTGGCTTCTCCCCTGGACTCACCGTGCGGAATCGGGCAAATGAGTAACTTCTCCGCCCCCCCCCCCCCCCCCCCCAAACTTCTGCTTAGAGTTAACAGTTGGCACAGAGCTTTGCTTATTTCTACGGGAAATTTACAGAAGCTTTTCTGGGCAAATCAGTCGTTGGAAAGAATTACAAGATTTGCCTAACAACCAGTCATTTAACTTCTGTTAATGAATAACCCACTTTAAGGAATCAAGGAAGTTTTAGGTTCATATCAGATGTGGGCCTTTTTTTTTTCTTCTTCTTTTTTTTTTTTTTTTTTTATCAGGCAGGCATCAGTAGAAAGGCTTGGGGAGGGATGGAGAGAGGAGAGTCCGGAAGTGAGATAGTATTTAAGCAAATTTGATAGAAATAATATACCATGAGAGAAGCTAGTCAGAGAAATTGCTAAAGGAGCAAAAAGTCTAAGTAAGCTATTGATACTGCTAATGAAACACTGAACTAAAAAGTGATGAATAGCAAGAACCTACAACCAAGAATACTCTACCCAGCAAAGTTATCATTCAGATAAAAAGCTTCACAGATCAGAAAAAGCTAAAGGAGTATATCACCACCAAACCAGTATTATATGAAATGCTAAAAGGCGTTCTTTAAAAAGAGGAAAAAGAAAAAAAAAAGTAAAGATAAAAATTATGAACAACAAATACCTACCCTGTTTCCCCCAAAATAAGACAGTGTCTTATATTATTTTTTTTCTCCCAAAGTTGCGCTAGGTCTTATTTTCAGGGGATGTCTTATCTTTCCATGCGCTAGGTCTTATTTTCGGAGGATGTCTTATTTTCGGGGAAACAAGGTTTCAACAAATGAATCTAAAAGTCAAGTGAATTAAAAATCTGAGGAACAGAATATACTGGTGAATATAATAGAATCAGAGGCATAGAATGGGAGGGGATTGATAATTCTCAGGGGGGAAGGGGTTTCTGTGTGGGGGGTACGGGAAGAGACTGGACAAAAATCATATACCTATGGATGAGGACGGAGGGGGGGGAGTACAGTGGAGGGGTGAGGAGGTAAGGGCAGAGGGTGAAGGGGGGGGCAGGTAGAGGGGAGCTATGGGAGGAGGGGGGGAAAGGAGAAACAATTGTAATAATCTGAACAATAAAGATTTATTTTTTTTTTTAAAAAAAGGAAGCACTAGGGAATTTTCCAAGCTGGCACTATTCCTCCTTGCACCCGTCCCAACTGCTAGTTCACTTCCTTTTACCACCCAAATATAGAACTCCTCCTTTCCGGTTTAATAAAGGAGAGTATCCCTTATCAGCAGTCCTATATCTCTTTACATCCCTCTCTTTTGAGAAGAATGCTTTTCAACCCCCGAATGCATAAAGTCATTGGGGTACCCATGAGTTGTTATATCTAGAGGCTCTCTCTCCCCTTTAAAGTGTACGACACAGGCTTTCTCCTCTTATTGATCCGAGGTTTTGCCTACACATAGAGTGATAGACTATTTGTAAGCCATTCTAACCAGCTTCCAGTCAAACTAAGTGTGTGCATGCGGTGGGGGAGAGTAACATACACAATTGGAAATACCAATATCTCCGTGTCTTTGGCACCATGCTGCCATGCAAATAAAGTGCTGGCTCGGTTAAAAGGCATACTCATAAGGTAAAGAGGAATTGTTTTATGTGCGTTTACCACCCAATATCTACTTATCCTACTTCTGATAAAAAATTGCACCCAAATTTCTCTTGGGAAACAATGTCTAGGCAGAGTTGACTCACGTAGACAGATTGAGTCTTAGCTAATCAGAGAAATTGCATTCCCCTGGCTATAGTGATTAGTCTAGGGGAGGTGTGTGACTCTTTCCAGCCCAACGAGAGTCATGACAGACATGCATGTTTAGCTTTAGTGTGATAGACTCATTCCTGCTGGCCTTGGTCAGAAGAAAATATGAGGACTGGTCCACTCTTGCCATTTTCTACCAAGAAAGCAAGTTGTAGTGACTTCATTTGGGCCCCTTGAACCAGCTGCCCCTGATGTTGACATGACCTACCCTTTACTGGAAGCCAGTTCTTTACCAGCTTAAGTAATTCTAGAACAGGCTGTCTGCCAGTTGCCATTAAAAAAGTTCTACCCAACAGAATCAGCGAAACCTAGTTAGTGGGCGGGCTCTTCTGGGTCCCCACAGGGCAGCTCCTTGTGAAGGAAATGAACTAGGAGACTCGTTAGAAACTAGCTATGACAAATGAATCCCTTTCATGGCAGCCACAGGCTTCCACACACAACCAGGAGAGGCCAGAAAGGCCTGTGAAAGAATGTAATCTTTTAGTGTACCCGAAAGTGGAATTTTCCAAATTAATTCTTCTTAACTACACGTTCTGTTCCTCAAATACTTCCATTCTAATCACCTAGACTTGTTTGGTGGTTCCAAGCCACATACCATTTGACCTCAATAAACCTGACCATGAAATCCATCCATGCATGCACAATTTTCATAAATTCCTTTGGGTAATTAGTTTCACAGACGATCACTCTATTTTTATCCTCCCTCTCCCCCCTCCAGCCTTCTGCTCCTGCCCTCACTCCATCTTTGGTAAGTTTGAAATAAAGAACATTCTCTTTAACCACCAAGTCAGACTAAGGTGCTTCCTTTATGGCAATTATATATATCCTAAAGCAACTTTAAATGGATAAGTTACATATAAACACAGAATTCCTGGATGGTTTCATTTTCTGTAAGTAACTCTTCTTACCTGAAACCTGTGACAGTCCTTCAGGTACGCCATTTCTGTGTTCAGCCACCCAGCTTTGCAAGAGTCCATTACAGGGCACAGAAAAACTCAGAATGTCCAGGAACTCCCTGGAAAACTTGAGGCCCAGATGGTTTCATAGTGCATTCTATAGAAATAAATACCAATTGTATAAAATTGTTTCAGAAAGTTTATTTCACAATAAGATGCTTTGAGAACTAGTCATATCTTATATAATAAAGAGGTAATATGCAAATTGACCCTCACACTCTCACAAGATGGCTGCCTATGAACAGGCCAGCAGGGGCGTTAGTGAGGGACAACTAAATGACTGAACAGCGGGCTGTGTGGGGCAACCAGGCCAGCAGGAGCGTAGTTGGTGGTAACAAGGCCTGCATGGGGGGGGACTTGGGGTGATCAGATCAGCAGAGGGGGCAGTTGGGGGAAACCAGGCCAGTGGGGTGGTATTTAGGTGTGACCAAGCTGGCAGGATAAGGGGACAATTCGGAGCAACCAGGCAGGTAGGCAGGTGAGCAATTGGGAGCCAGGGGTTCAGGATTATGGGAGGGATGTCTGACTGCCAGTTTAGGCCCAATCTCAGGGATCTGGCCTAAACCAACCAGTAGTCAGTCATCCCCCAAGGGATCCCAGATTGGGAAGGGTGCAGGCTGGGCTGAGGGGGACCTCCCACCCCCGCCATGCATGAATTTCACGCACCATGCCTCTAGTATGAATTATAAACAAATATCTATAAACTAGAGGCCCAATGCATGAAATTTGTGCAAGAGGCTTGGCCCTCGCTGCCCCAGCTTCATCTAGAAGGACGTCCAGCTGTTCCGTCTAATTACTATATTATGCTTTTATTATTATTGATGTATATAGTGGCAGATAGCATTTCATCCTATAGCACATTTTGTCCATCCAGTCCTCTACTGATAAATTTGTAAGTGGTGTGCAGAATTTTACTGCATTATTGGGGCTGAAAGAACACATTTGAGCTAGGCTGGTTTCATACCCAGGCCTACCATTTAATAGCCATATTTATTATTATTATTATTATTATTATTATTATTATTTGTTAGGGTTTATATTTTTTCTAAAAGGCAAGGATATTAATTGTACCTACCTCCTGGAGTTGTTATGAGTATTATCTGGGATAATATTTATAAAGTACTTAGAGCCAGACTGGAATGTAGCAAGTGCTATGTGAGTGTTGTTTAAATACACATTCAAAGGAACATCTTTGCAAGTGTTTCCTGGTGCACAGTTGCAGGAATTTGTCTAGGATCCATACCAAAAGTGAAATTACTGGGTTGTAGGGTACACACAGTTTTTATTTTACTAAACACTGCCAACTTACACTCTAAACTGTCAGTACCAATCAATACTCCCACAAGAGGGGCACAGTTTTGCCACATGCCTGACAACACTCAACAAAGACTCTTTTAATTTGACCTGTTTAATGAAAATGCTATCCTTTTTGGACTAATTTGCCTGTCCAGATAAGTGATGAAATTAAACACATTTCATATTCTGAATATATTCATAATTCCTCTTTTTTTAAATGTCTGTTTAGACTTATATTCTTTCTGTGGAGTGTCTTTTCTTACTGATTTGAATAAGTGTTCTATGTATGTATTGTAGATTCTAAGGCTTTGTCGGCTACATATATTGCAATTAAATTTAACTTATGCTTCACCTTTTTGGGGGGGCATGGCACTTGCTATAGAAAATTTTTGTTTTAATTTAAAATTAAAAACTGTAATACATCACACAGTTCAGAACTTAAAAACATATATATTAAAAGGTGTACAGTGAAAAAATACCCTCAAACCCCTGATCCCGATCTATTTAGTTTCTGCCTGAACTTCTGTTACAAGGACCAACAAATATCCTTTCAAAATGTCTTAATTTAAAAATAATTATCTATTTTATTTCCCCAATTTTTCATAAATGGCAATTTGCTATATATCCTCAATTCTGTATATTGCTTTAACCACTTTATATCTTGGTGATTTTTCCATATTGGCATATAGAGAGCTTGCATATTTTTTTAAAGCTGCATATTATTCTTGGATATGCTATAATTTATTTAATAATTGGTATATTTATCCCTAAATACAAAGCAGTAAATTATTTTATTTATTTGTTTTAATACTCATCTGAGGATATTTTTCCATTGATTTTTAAAAATATATATTTTTATTGATTTAACTAAGGAAGGGAGAGAGAAAGAAAGAGAGAAACATCAGTGAGAGAGAATCATTAATTGGCTGCCTCCTGCACACCCCCTACTGGGGATTGAGCCCACAACCTGAGCATATACACTTGGCCAGAATTGAA